CACACACACACACACACAAACACACACACAAAGAGGCACACGCGCGCACACAGACAGAGGGAGACAGAAGAACAAAATGCAAATTGTTTGTCATTTATCGCTCATTACCAAGCAGAAGAGACCACCGGTAGAATGGAAAGAAACACCGCCAACGAGGCAAAAGAATTCAAAACGCACACACGGCAAGATGAGAATGTGAGGGAAAAGATGGGACAGCTCGTATTGAGAGACTCTGACAGAGCTGTGACATGGCCTGAGAATTTGAAATTATATTTCTTATCTCGTTCTCCTCTCTTTATAGCCAGAGATGAGGAATTGGACTGTTCTTCTGAACTGCCTCTTTATACGCAAAAGAATTTCATATATGACCCCCAACAACATTACTCGCTTGAAATAATATCCTTGACCACCAACAACACGACTCAGTCAATCTGGTACTATCGCGTTCCCCGAATAGAACGCACGTGGTCATTATAGCGGTATTTGGGGGAACTTTAAGTCTAGATACAGCGATATGACCGTACGTAGAATTCAGGGGAGAACAGTAGTAATAACTTCAAAATAATTGCAACCAGGTACAACGCACTGTATGTGTACGTAAATCCATCATCATACATCTTTCTCCTCTTCTTTTTTTTTTTCAAAGACACCGCTCATATTCCATTCGTCAGAAAAAAAATCCGTTCTCAATTGCGGTAAATCGTCGAAAATGGAAGGCCTATCAATAGCACGTACCCTTTGATCAGACCACCCAAGTATCCCTTCTTAGCAATCCACCTGGCCCGAGATGAAATACTTTTTTCTTTTGAAGAAGAAGAAGAAGACGCCCCGAGATGAAATACTTAAAATCTAAAAAAAAAATTAAAAAAAATAATAATAATTAAAAAAAAAACTTAAAACCTTAGAAACTGCTAAAAAAAAGCTTTGTGCTGTAATGAATGTAAAATTTTAACTTGATAACAAATCGTTGCTCCACAGGTCAAGAGCACAAAAAAACAGTTACTTCACCCACGGATCGTTTACGAGTTCGAATCCTGTCCATCGCCCATTATGTTCAATCAGCCCTGAATGAATCCCCCCTGCCTCAAGACGAAATACTAGCAAGAACCTAAGAATCCGTTTTTTGAAAAAAAGCTTTCTAATCTAATACATTTATTTAAAAAAAATTATAAAAAAATGGTTGCTCCACAGGTGAAGCACCAAAAAAAAAGTAGTTACTTCAACCAAGGATCGTTTAAGGGTTTGAATCCTGTCCGCCGCCCATTACGATCAATCGGCCATGAAAAGGATCTCTCACCATTTCTAAAAGCGTACTCACACCAGGACCTTTCCTACTGAGCTCTGGACGTAATCGCCGTCAGATACGCGCAAGTGGAGCTATAATTCCGGTCAGATACATCCGGTGAAGTCCCAGCGTGAGTATGCCCTAACTTCCGGTTTTCTTCACAGGCCGTTTTTTTCGAATGGCTGACGTGTTCCCATGGCTGTCATCGCCATCGTCCCTCGTCTCCGTCTCGCACCAACGCGCCCTCGCACGCTGGCTGGGTAGACATTATTACAAAATTATTACAAAAACATACAACTCAGAAAAAGAGGCCAATACTGGAAATTAAGAAAGGAAAGGGGAGCTGCTACCAGAAACGAAAACAAAAGAACCAACTGGCCTAGCTCAGTTAGTACACCCTCCAACTGCTGAGATACAGGGTCTCGCCGCACGGCACACGAAACGAAAACGAAACGAGTGCATCTGCCCACGAAAGGTGGCAAAATACACTGGTTACTATTTATACCAAACCGATGAACCTGGCCATTTTCTGCGGTAAGATTCACTCGTTTCGTTTTCCGTTTCGTGTCCTGTGCGGCGACGCCCACAGACCTGAGTACGAACTCCACGGAAAGCAAATGAAATAAAACACTGGAATTCTGAATTACCTAGGGCTGGTCAGAATCGATTATGATATCTCAAAGCCGTCGTCCTTCAAAGAGAAAAGAACATCAGAAGAGAGAGAGAAAGAGAGAGAGAGAAGAAAAACCGCCACGAGAGACGTATTACAAATACGAAGAGGATAGATTGGAGAAGCGCCGTGAGAAGGGGGCGGGGGGGGGGATAAATACCGCGGGTATTTCTGTTTCATCTTTGAAGACCCCTCTGACCTGCTGTGTCTTCCTTCGATGCCAAGGTAAGGAGCACGGTCTACCTCGAGATTAGTCAAAAGCACAAAGAAAAGGCCATATCGTCATCTCGCCTGCTATCCTACCGATCTATTACGGTGGGAAATTTCCTACTCGGGAAAGAACGCAAAATTTTCTACTTTGGAAAAAACGCAAGAGTTTCTACTTGGGAACGAACTCAAGGGAGGCACAGCTACTGGCAGGTCTCGGTCTTTGTGTTAGACCGACCCCCACTGGCGGGCCCAACCCTATACCCTAACCATTAGGGGCAAGGGGCAACATGAAATCTCCCCTTCACAGAGAGAGGAAAATATGCTTGCAGGGGTCCCTTCTAGATAGTCTTAGGAGTAGGTAGTGGAAGGTAAAAGAAACAGAAGTTGAGAGAAGAATATAGAAAAAAAAAAAAAAAAAAAAAAAAAAATGTTCAACTTGGAAAATAACGCAAAATTTTCAACGTAGGAAAGAACGCAAAATTTTCAACTTGGGTAGCATGCCCCAGAATTGCAGACATCTTGCAAACCAAAAAAACTTCGTTACCAAATCGAAGTGATAGGAAATCTAGAGCACATTATTAGTGAATATTATTAGTAAATATGACTAGTAAATATGATTAGTAAATATTATTAGTAAATATTATTAATAAATATTATTATTAAATGCGCATTTCCGGACGCATGAGGTCATATATCTTTCAACTAGAAAATCAAACCTCAGCGAGAGGATGTGCTCTAATCGCGGGTCAAGAGGAAGTATTTACCTCATGGTAAATCCAACCTCGGAAGAGAAACCACCAAGACGTCTTTTTTTTCAACCTATAGTAATATCTCTGCCGGCCAGAAAATTAACTGTTCCAACTCGCGGGCAGATATCTGCCCGCCAAAAGGAATGTTCGAATTTGCGGGCAGATATTAGGTTAAAAAAAAAATACGCGTGGTTTCTCTTCCTCCCAAGATAAGATCCAGCTATTGATTAGCTAAAGACACGTGACGTGTCCGTCGCGCTACGTCAAAGTGCTGCTGGCCGAACACCGGCGCTCGGCGACTACCGTCTTCCCCCGAACATAACGCAGCCTGAAAAGGAAAGTATACAAGGTATGTTTCCGGCGAGATTCAGTGAGATACAGTCAGAACGAGGGTGCGTTGTGTTCGGGGGAAGACGGTAGTGAAATATTCGGATATGCCGCCGAGAGACACGTAGACACACCGATCGAAATGTGTCAGAGCCATGTGGCAGCCGCATAACCGAAAAGATCTGCTCATGCGCTGACGTTGAGCCACGTGGCAACCGGATCCAGCGGGCCCCGCACCGAAACGGCGCCCCCACCATGAAAAGTACGTCGCCGCATTCCTTTCAGGGCGCCAAAAGATAGACGGCAGCCGTCAGGCTTGCTGGGCGAGCCACGTGGCACGCGTCAATCACACCGACTGCGCACTCAACGACGTCTCGTATTGACAATCAATCAATCTCCCGCGCGACCGCACGACTACAGTGGCCACGTCAGCTGCTGCTAACTCCGTGGCGGATCTCAATGTCATGCCAGTTGATGCTAAGTCGGGAGTCTCAGCGCCACGTCAGCAGCATCCACCGTCTTCCCCCGAATAGAACGCAGGGTCATTATAGCTGTATTCGGGGCAACTACCAGTCTAGATGCAGCAACTGCGCGTTATATCCGGGGAAAGACGGTAGGCCGGGACTCGATGGCCAAACCGGTTGCTTTCAAGACGTGATTCAACGCCACTCAGCTGCTCGATCGGCGGGGATACCGGCCACGTCAACTCAGCTGTGCATCTAGATCGAGATGCCCACGCCAACGCACATGCTTCGTAGGTCGGGATACGGGGCCACGCCGGCTGCTGCTGATACTACTACATCGGACCTCCTCCAGACCATGTCCAGCTAAATCATAGCTCGCGTCTCGTGCCGAGACGTCACACACCCGAGATTAACCAATCAATCCAACGGTGCAAAACAGTAGAGCCCGCCTACAAGATAGGGTAATGTGTAGTAGTGCCACACACCTAGAACGGCTGATTCATCCACAGGTTAAGCAGCACACATCGCATTCCAAGGAATTCATGATCGTTCTGTTCAAGGGACTGGAGGAAGGGGGGAGGGGGGAGG